CATCCTACCTAAGGAGTTTGCTAAGCAACTCATCCATCAGATTCATCAAGGTTTACACCTAGGTTACCAAAAACTGAAGGAAGTGCTGTGAAAGGCAAGGTACAAAATATTTGACTTAGGACACTTGGTTGATCAGAAAATCTCAGACTATGCCACCTGCCAGGCTGTGAACTCCTCAGGCCCTAATCAAAGAGCAACTCTAGGAACCAGAATCAGGGGTCAATGGCCAGGAACTAATTGGAAAATAGATTATACAGAAATAAAACCAGGAACATATGGATACAAGTATTTGCTAGTTTTTATAGATACCTTTTCAGCAGGGGTAGAAGCCTACCCTATGAAGAAGGAGACTGTCAATATAGTGGCAAAGAAGCTTCTGGAAGACATCATACCCAGGTATGGTTTGCCTACCCTGCTTGGGTCTGTGTTATGATTAGTATATGCTTGACCCAGGGAGTGGCACTATTAGGAGGTGTGGCCTTCTTGCAGTTGGTGTGTCACTGTGGGCGTGGGCTTAAGACCCCCATCCTAGCTACCTGGAAGTCAGTCTTCCACTAGCAGCCTTCAGATGAAGATATAGAACTCTCAGCTCTGCCTGAATCATGCCTGCCTAGATGCTGCCATACTCCCACCTTCATGATAATGGATTGAACCTCTGAACCTGCAAACTAGCCTCAATTAAATGTTGTCCTTTATTAGACTTGTCTTGGTCATGGTGTCTGTTCACACCAGTAAAGCCGTAACTAAGACAGTCTGACAATGGACCAGCATTTATCTCTCAGGTAACTCAATCTCTAGCACAGGTTCTAGGGACCAATTGGAAATTACATTGTGCCTACAGATCCCAGAGTTCAGGGCAAGCAGAGAGGATGAATCAGGCCCTGGAAGAGGCTTTGACCAAATTAACCCTTGAAACTGAAGTTGACTGGGCTTTCTCCTAACTTATGCCTTATATAAGACTAGGAATACCCCTATACTTTAAGTCTCACCCCCCCTTTGAGATCCTATTTGGGAGCCACCCTCTCATGCTGCCTAACCTCCAGTCTGATATCTGAGATGAATATGACCAACATAAGTTTGTAAAATTATTGGAAGCCCTCCATAGGATCCAGAAGCAACATTGGCCTGCCATCTGCTAGGTTTATGAGTCAGCTCCTTCTCCTAACCCCTATTTCTCTGAACCAGGTGATGAAGTATGGATTAAAAGACATAACCACAAAACTCTGGAACCTTGCTGGAAAGGACTGCACACCATGATCCTGACCATGCCTATGGCTGTTAAGATAAATAAGATCAGGACATGGATATACCACTCCCATGTTAATGCTGCAACTGTGGATAAACTGGGAGTCCCCTTACTATCTGGGTGCCCCCAAGGAACAATGCAACAACCTTGTCATCAAGTTCACAGTGGATGGCAAGAAGGCTGATTGGACTGCCAGTTCTTAACTCCTCCCAACCCAGATTTAACACAGAACTGTTGGTTACCGGACAAGGACTCTACATTGGAAATAAGGTACTCCCAGCCTATTCCTACCTCTGCAACCACACTGTAACTCCTACTGTTGCAGGATACATGCTGCCCCAAGAGGATGTTTGGCGGGCTTGTACCTCAGGGCTTACTCCATGCATTTATGGCCTGGTTGTAAATATGACTGAGGATTTTTATTCTAGTACAGCTTGTACCCAGAGTGACTTTTTACTCTGGGAGGATGTCTTCAACCAGCTAGGACCTCCAAACAATTATGTTAAAAAGGTGGCCACTTCCACTGTGTTACTATGTTCTGTCCTTGGCATAGGGCTAGATGGAACTGCTAGTGTAGGGACCTCAGCCTTAATACGCCAAGATAAAAATTACAAGGCCCTATGGATGGCGATAGATCCATATATACAGGAGATAGAAAAGTCCATCACAGCCCTGCAGGATTCCCTGTCCTCCCTGGCAGAAGTAGTCTTACAGAACAGAGGAGGCCTAGACTTGCTGTTCCTATAGCAGTGAGGACTCTGTGCAGCGTTAGGTGAGGAATGTTGTTTCTATGTAGGCCACTAAGGTGGTCAAAGAATCCATGGCCTTAGTCAGAAGAGACTACAAAACAGAAGAATAGAAAAAGAACAGTCTCCAGGTTGGTATGAATTCTTCTTCAACCAGTCTCCTTGTCTGACCACCCTTGTCTCCACCCTGACCAGTTATCTTATCCTACTAATGTAGGCCTTGACTTATGGTTACTATGTAATCAATGAGGAACAGATTTCTATCATTCAATTGATGATTCTCAAACAATAATACCAGCCCACAGAAACATCTCAAAGACTTGAGATGGCCCAAAAGGGGGAAATCAGACAGGCTGACTCCATGACAGGCTTCAAATTAGCAGTTCAAGAGAGTAGACCTAAATCTCTGTTTCCAAGAACTGGTCAATTCCAGGCAAGTGCAGGCCTCAGAAGCTGCCCAGCCACCTGGCCTGAGACAAGGACAGGGTCAGCAGTAGTTTCCAGACCTCCTCAGCAACAGTTTCTTGACTTCCCCAGCAATGGTTCCAGAATGTCCCTAGAGATAGAGCCAAAGATAGAGGTCACCTACCCCTCCCTAGAATTCCCCTAATGTGCTTTAAACTGGGCCTGCAAGCACTTGTGCATCACCATCTTAGAATTGGAGACCCCAGCATGCTGGACTTCTGAAGAATAAAACATTCTTCGTTTTATAAAAAAGAAAAAGAAATATGTGTGTGTAGGGGGTGTATGTCTTATGTTTTCACAATGCACTTACAGGAACTTATCAAGCAAGTGAAAGTATAGGTCGGAGGCCTGACTACTTTGCCACAAGGAAATTGCATAACTTGAAACCCAAGAGTCCCTTTTCTTTTTTTGAGAACTCTCAAGTTTCCCACCTGAACAATAAAAGCTTAGACCTAATGACCCTGGAATCTTAGAATGTTCACGTTGCCCAGTCCCTCGTGGTCTTCCTCTTCAATCACTGGGAGGCTGGACATAACTCCCTTCCTGTTACTATTACCCATGACAAGCCTTCTCCTAGCTATTGAGCAACTCCCAGCATGCTACTATAATTTCTTACCTAGCTCTAAATAGCAAACATGCAACCTCCCAATGAAAAATCTTCCATTTCATCCATAAAGTAGAAGCTTCTGGAGTGATTCATTCTCACACTTTTGCTATTTTTTGAATTTTTCTCTGGGTTTTCCTAGCAATGTTCTCTGATCATTTTTCTCTGTCTACATCACCTACATTGGGGAACATTAGAGATTACCAAAATATTTTCTCCTCCATTTGTTTGTCCTAGTCAGATTAAAAATATTTTCATTAGTTAATATCTGTTTTGCTGATGGTCTGTGTCATCTTGCAGGTTCAGTTGGAGGAATCCTTGAGACTGGTGAGCTCTCACCAACCACGGCTTTCAGACTGTCAGATTTTGTGTTCTATTACAATGTCCTCAGTGCAACAATCACCTGACCAAGGCTAAAGATGAATGTGGGATTGCTACAACTCATTTGCCAAGTATTTATAGTAAAATTATATCACACATTATCACCATTATTTCACAAGAGAAATTTAACACTAAAATCAGGAGGAAGTCATTGTTAGAATAAAATACAGTCCCTGGACAGAATAAGTTAATAGCCAACCTGATGGTTTTATGAGCAACTGTCTATAACAGTGCCCTTACTTTCCTCAAATTCCTGAACAGGCAAGAGTTTTCAGAGATGCATGTGTGGGCAGTGGATGTTTAAGGGGCAGCATGCTACCAACTACAATACTTCTTGTCTATGAGTGAGCTTTAATACAAGGCCTCTTGCCTCAGGTTGAAGTTTGCACTCAGCTCTGGGCTTTGTACATATATTTTTATCTTGGGGTGGCTCCATAAGACCACCTTTGCACATTTCACATAACCCATGTGAAGCAGACATAACAAGCTGAACCTAGAGATGCTCTCTTATCTCAAAAGGATGCTCGTACTCCACATTGCCATTTTCTACTAACTTCTGTTTGCAGAATCTGCCTTTCTCCATCTTATAAGCTCAGGCTTCTGAAATCTTTCATTATTCCAGGTAAAGGAATTCTCTTTGCTTGACATGTTTGTACCTATCTCCCCTTAAATTTCTTTCTATTGATAATTCATTTTTAAAGTAATAATAACACTATAATTTTTTACTTGTCCCTATTCTACAATAATTAGTAATCACAAGATTTTGGATGTGGAGAAAAACTTTTGAAAATTTCTCTCCTTTAAAGATTATTAAGTTATGTGAGAATAGGCTCACTGAGTTTAGACAGCCCCATAAAGTTCACTACAGTGAATTACGATAGGTAATATGATCCTTCCTATCTATAGCTGTTACAGACTATAAGGTCATGAAGTTGTAAGATGATAGGATTTTTTTAACCTATATGAGATTTTTTTTCTTAAAGGAAGAAATAAAGAAGTGAATGTAAACACTGAATGAATAGAAGATGGAGGGAGGAAAGGGTTGTGAATGCCAGAATCCGTATCAACACTTGTAAAAATTATTCCTAACAATATTACATCTAATATACATTACACATGAAAACCAGTCTTAGTTGAACTAAGTAACTTTTATGCATCAGCAATATATAGCCGTCTGTCTGTCTGTCTGTCTGTCTGTCTGTCTGTCTACGTTTTGTGGTGATGGGAACTGAATCCAGGGCTTCATGAATATGAGGCAAGTTCTTACCACTGAGCAATGGTCCCAGCACATTTTAGATGTTTAGATACTAGAATCTGGTCTAGGAACATCTCTGATTGTCCCCCATATTAAGAGTCGTTTTTCTTCCCACAAAAGAACGGATTGCAGAAATATAACCTGGGTAAGCAGAATTCTCCTCTTCATTCCCATCTAACATGAACACACACAAAATGAATATTGAAAACTGCTGATGTATATTCTCCCAGATTATTCCTTAAAAATAGTCACAGTAACATACATGCTAATAAGTTTTTAAATTAGAAGAATTCCATCACTTACCAAAATAAGTCCTGATATTAGGGAGGATGTGCCTGTCAGGGCCACGTAGAACTTTGGGGTTAACGTGTTCAAAAACATGCTCACTGAAAAAAAGGAAAAGGGAGAAAATTGAGAAACGCATGACTGTAATCAGTAAAGCTTTCTGTTTGTTTCTTAAGCTTGTGTGTGTGTGTGTGTGTGTGTGTGTTATATATGTGCCTGTAAGTATGTACTGTAGTTATCACATGGGCTCTAGAAACTGAACCCCCATAGAACATTGAATTCTCTTAACTCCTGAGCCACCACTCTGGTGCCTGACTCAATTATTTTTATTCCTTGTGAAATCACTTGTTTCTGATAACCTGAATTCCTAGAACCTTAGCAGAGTCCCACTAAAATAAATAACTAGTACACTGATGCAGAAAGACAGATGTCAAGCTATACCCACAATGCTACAATTCCTGTCAGGCAAAGTCCAATAGTGGCACGACTGTCAGAGGTATAACCAATGGTTTTCTCCTTGCATTGGAGGCTTGTTTCACAAAAAAGAATTTATACCTTGTAATATTAAGCTGGTCAAAGACCTATGGTTGAGGGAGGTGTAAGTCTCAGTTTACCTACTGCTATTATTTTGCTCAATGGAGATGTTATCAAATTGCCTTCTAAAAAAAGTAATGTTTGTACCCATAGATTAGTGCTATTCTCAACCTTAGTCAGAGAAACTTGCTTTTGCAGTAGGTATCAAGCAATAACAAGACTCATAGATGGTCAATGTGTTGAGAATAAATGACAATTGAGTGTTCAGTCCTAAGTCAGACATTTATTCTACCATCAAAGTTCAGGGAACATCACAAAAGAAAGAGAGGTAGGAAAATAAAGACAAGTAGATGGGGAGAAGCGCTGTCACATGCTGTCTTCTGGACAGGATGTGGCCATCGCACTCAGGAACTTACAGCTCTGATGCTTACCTGCACATGACCTACACAGACAAGCCAGTCAGTGTTCCTGTCTGGCTGGGAGAGGTGTTTATGAGGCTTCAACCCTAGTTGGGGTGCTTACTGGCAATTGATGGCTGCTAAGGATGGGTGAGTGATGTCATTTTTCTTTGTGACATTTCAGAGGGAAGTTAGACTCTATAGGGCCTCCATAAGCTCTGGCTGTAGGCAAGCCTGGTAGAACATTTTCTTATTCAGTGGTTGATAGGGGAGGGCCCATCTCATTGTGAGTGGTGCCACCCCAGGGCTGGTGGTCCTGGGTTCTGTGAGTACAGCTTACTGACTAGTTCCACATATGGCTTGCTCAGCATCTAGATTCCTGCCACATTTGAGTTCCTATCTTGGCTTCTTCGGTGATAAGGAAGAATAAGCCAAATCAATCCTTAGCTCCCCCAAGTTGTCGAATTACAGCAGTAGTAACCCTAATAAACAGGCAGCAATGTAGACTTGAGCAAGTCACCAATAGAGTAGTCTGTGAAAATGAAAACTGACATGGGCATTTGTTAACGCTGGCTAATTGCTAGATGCCCAAAATGAGTGCTAAGGAAATCTGAACCTGTACCAATATCATCTTTCTTGGCCATTCATAAATAAAAGATAACTCCTGCTGCCATTAGCATGCTGAGATGAGAGTCTCTGAAAATCTGCTAAAATGGCAGCTTAAGAGATATGGTGTTTTTTTTTTTTAAAATCTGGGAATAAAATATGTTCATAATATATCTGTAAATAGTAAGTTTTTCTAGGCATATTTTATATACATAGCATTTGTATCACCTTACAAAACCAGTTTTCCATCCAGTCAGCTCAGTTAGGATTAAAAGCACAAAAGGAGCATTCCTCAGTGTTGCAGCCCCTCCTCTCCCTGCTCTTCTGCGCTGCTTGTGCTGGGTCTCAAGCTTTTCTGTATCACAGTCCTCTTGAGAAATGCTATGGCATTTATCGTTGTGAGGGAGAAGCGAGCAGACTTATTTTTAGACTCATTGCTAAGGTAAGAACCCCTCATAAATCATCCTGTCTACTCTTCCTCAGCCCTTGATGCTGCCCTGGCAGCTTTACAGGGATCCTGTTTCTGCTTTACAAAGCAGCCAGCTCCATGGGAGAGCTGAGCTGAACACATTGCTTTTCTCAGCTGTGGTCTGGGTAAGTAGTGATGGAGTGTGCTATATTAGTATGACCAATGCAGTGCTAGGTTTTCATGCCACCGTCTCCCTTGCTGGGGAGAAGCCATCTGACAGCTTTTCCTGTCATCAGGAAGGAGCGCCCCAAGCCCTTATAACCCTGAAGACAGTGAAGCAAGGTCTCAGATGACACGTTTCAGTTTACTTACAAATAGGTACTGTGAAGAACAGCATCCTGATGGGAAAACAAACAAAAACTTGTATATTTTATATTCTCAGATATTTATGGTGTTTCAAGCTAAGTTTGAAGATGATTTTTAAATATAAATATAGCAAAAGTAAGTTTCTAATGCCTAGGACTTTGTATTTTTTTTCTTCCTCCTCTTCCCTCTCTTTCTTCTCTTCCCTCTCCTC